GTTGCAGGCACAGCACGCCGCGTGGTGGGCGTTTCCTTGCCCTTGACAGAGAAGTTCGACCCTCTTGGGCTTGGCAGCACCGACCCTGGGTTGAAGTATCAGTGGTCACGGGCGTGCGTAGAGGCGGCAGGGTCAGTTTCAATCCCTGGCCTAACCCTCGTGATGCGTCGTCTTCGGGTTCGCTCCACAAAATTGTGTCCCGAGCACCGAGGATGCCAAGATGGATCGCTACACTCAAGTGGAGATCAAGCATGGGAGGTCGCCCGGGTCATTCCGGGTCATGGTGCTCCATGCGCTCCATTCGTGGGCCACCTCGCTAGCATGGCTAGCGCAGCATGACGATTCATGTATTCACATTTGTATGTTGGCCATGTTTCCATGTTTGCATTCATGTGGTTTCTTCGTTTCTCAAAGCCCGAAACCCAAATGCGCAGTGCGGCAGTAGAAGGAAGCAACTGGTCAGGCCATCCCCACCTTTTTGAGACACGAGACCCAAATGCCTCAGGGTGGCCATGATCGCAACTGTTGGCTACATCATGCCTGAGATCTTCCGGTTTCCTGGCTGCGAGGCTGGTCTGAAGGAAAGGCATCCTCGTGACGTTAACAAGAATTATGGCGACTAAGCGCATCCTCGTCGACCTGATCGATTTGTCATTATATACTTATATACCATTATACAGCCATATTTCTTCACTGTTTCTTTAATGTTTTTACCCAAGGATGAGCTTGATGGGTTGGTTGACAGATACTGCAGGAAGGCTGCTGTGACGCGATCACTCCCTCCCTTTGCAAGTTCGATCATGAAACGGATGGAGAGCGCTGAGTTAGTTGACCGTCGACATCTATTCGCTGAGTTGACTCTCCAAGACTGTACAGCGCCAAGTTTGCTCTTGGGCGGTGAGATCTATCTCTATCTCTATCTCAATCTCTATCTCTATCTCTATCTCTATATATCCATATCTATATCTATATCCATCTCTCTCTATATCTATCTATCTATCTATCTATCGATCGATCGATCGATCGATCGATCTATCGATCTATCGATCTATCGATCTATCGATCTATCTATCGATCTATCTATCGATCTATCTATCGATCCATCGATCCATCGATCCATCGATCCATCGATCCATCGATCCATCGATCCATCGATCCATCGATCCATCGATC